TTCGTTTCTTGTCAAATAATGCCATATAATACACCTTTTATTAACTTCACTTGTTCAGTCTTTCCTGAGAAATCTCGGAGCTCTATTTTAGTACAACCTTGCCCAACGGGCTCGGTCTGCACAAAAAATTCGGTCCTATATTTCTCCGTAAAGACCCCGAGCTTCGTTGATAAGGGCTTATAACATTCTGTTCATGATGTATAGTTCACGCAGAGTCAATTACAAATTTTTCAAGATTTTGTTCATTTTTCTAGGAAATAGAGAAAACGCATTTCCAGTGTTTTGTGACATGAAATCAGGAGGTAAGCAATTTCAAACTGAAACTTTAATGCAAGCTTCACAATGAACGTGATAAAAGCATTAAAAGCACGAGATAAAGAGCACGTGACAAAATTATTTATTTTTAAAAAAGTGCCTAAAATAACATGCAAGGATAATTGTAACAAGAAAATTTAATGAAGAATGTTTTATGCAGTGCGGTGTTTGAAATCAAATGAAGATATGATCTTCGCACTTTTGCTGGACAATTTAAGCAATTGTTTCATGAACCTGAAAAATTCAGGGATCATCCCGTTGAGTCACCTGAATTTTTCAGGTTCATGAGACAATTGCTTAAATTGTCCAGCAAAAGTGCGAAGATCATATCTTCATTTAAAGAAAGTTTAATCTTGCTTGAATTAATTAAAGAACGTGAGTCAACCAAGATGCACTTTGCGCTTTAGTATATGTTTATATCTTAAAGTAATTTTCTTGAAAAGTCACAAAGCACAAGTTAATCCAATGGCAATTGGCCTTCCCCGTTTACGTAAAAAACCTTTTCAAATCATAAGTTACTTAAAAACAATGTGTTAGGTACATTTAAAAATAAACGCCTACATTGACTACATAATGAATACATACTTACCGACGTCGAACAATTACAATGCCAACAAAATGGCCGTCACACCTACCGTGATTTGCGCGCAATGCATCTCGGTTGACATACATTCTTTCATTACATAAACTGGACGCCCTTTCAAGTGGAGAAATCAATTGTGATGATGGTATTAGCCTTATAAAGTGTTTTTAAAAGGTTTTTGTTTGTAAAAAATCCGGAAGTGGTTGACTTTTTGTAGAATGCGAATGACCAGAACTTACTCATACTAAGCTAATTTGAGGCTCTTACAATTGTAAGACCTTACAATTGTAAAACCTCGATTGTCCGCTATCCAAGCTCTTGTATCACCTCATCTTCAGCAGTTTTAACTTAGCTATCGTCGGAAGACCTGTAAAGTAATCATGTATTCTGCAGGATTTACAATGGCTTTCAAGGTTGTTTCTGGAGGCAACCGATTAACAAGTATTGGTAAATTTTGGAAGCAGAAATTACCTTCACATGAATCAAGTTTAGGAGCTCTTAACAAATTTAAATCATTTACGGGACTTTATAAAAATCGTCTTGTCGATCCAACAAATTGGAACAAAGTAGTGTCGAGTGAGGTAAAATCTGGGTAAAATTTATAATTAAAGTAAGAATATAAAAATGACAAGCGATTTCACCTGAACAGTTGTTTTTGTTGAGCAAGAACCAATGCATAAGCGATTGCTGGGATGTAGAAGTAGAACATGTTTCTCGTCGTCAGTGACGGTGCAGGTTCATAGAAATAGCGAGCTTTAGCAAGAGTACGACTACGACAACAACTAATGCAACGAGTACAAAGTTTGACAGTGTAAGGGAATGGCACGAGGCAGTTGCTTCGTCAAAATTTTGCATTTTTGCTTTAGTTGCAAACGCCAGGGCCGGTTGCACGAAGCCTGGGTAGCGTTATCCATTGGATAGCAAAAAATTTCCAACTTTTTAAAAAGGTGTTTATATTTTTCATACGACAAAGAAATTTCGTAATCTTTGAAACAATATTTTGTTTCAGTGATTGCTCAGTTCTAATCTAATATATTTTGCTTTTTATAAGGTTTTATAAAAGTACAAAAAATTGCTATCTAGTAGATAACGCTATCCAGGGCCTTTTTATTGTGAAAAACACCAAATTTTGTGAAGCAGCTACGGCCCTTTAGACTGAAAAATCTTCACTATTTTACATTTTACGTACGATATATTTGTACTATTTTATTGTTTGTTTACCTTTCACTTAGCGTATGAAATACTTGGAAGTTTTGCAGGTCATATTTTTGTTTTAATCTGCGGTCAAAAAAGTTTCTGAAATAAAGCCTGGTGGTTGAAAATGGCACTGTCGACTTATTTCCTCAACAATAAGAAATCATACCTACTTTCTTTTTATAAGAAGACATTGTAGTCGCGACAGAGTTTATAAATAAAACTAGAGGTGGCATTGATGACGAATTTAGGAAACGCGAGAGTTGGGGGGGAAATTTAGGTCCCAGATGCATTGCTTATTTAAACAAGAAGTAAACAGATATTCTTTTGTCGTCTGCTTTCAAGTTTTGGATTCTTTTTTGATATACTGCATAGTACGTTTTTTACTCTTTTGTACCAGAATCAAGAAAATTTGTCAATTTTAAGCGTTAGCAATTGTTTTAGCGAGCTGTTATGATTATATGTTGTTTATAATCTCCGAATACTTAGTATGTTTCCATTAATCTATAAGCAATGAAAACTTGTGTTGTTCGTTTTTATTTTTACAACTCACGTATTCACATGGTTTAACCATTTTTATCATTTTTTCCGGTATGGATGACAAATATATGTTTTTTTGAAGTCTGTTAGAACTTGAATTAAAGACGAAAGAGGTCTTTTTATCAAGCAATGACTGACGGACTTATAATTTACTGAATGAGTATAAAAGCAACACAATCAAGTCAAGTTTTCAATGCAAAATAGATTTTGCCCTCTAAAAACACATATCATATTTTGGACTATAGATTTTATTACGATGCCATTTCTAGTATTATTTATAATGTTTATGGTTGTCACCAAAATGTTTCGCGCAAAAATGGCATACTTCTTACTCGTAGTCGTATTTGTAGTCTTCGCTAAAGCTCCCTAAAATTACCTAAGCTGAGAGTAACAATTTAAAACTGTCGTAAATATTTTAAATAAGGTACGTTTTGTGTTGTACAAAAACGGCTTGGAACAGTTGGTCCTTAAGTTCAAATGTCCGAATTGCAGCTACATCGACTGGTTTACACAACTTAACCTCGTGGAGTCCCCATGGCATGATATAACATCGTCTACCTTTAACTACTTTACAATAGAAGGTCGTTGCTGGAATAGTAGATGTCGTGATTTTCATATAAATCACTACTATGGTGGATGTCCCAAGGATGATGGATGGTTAAGCATTGGAAACACTAAAGTTTGCCCCTGGGATAGCCGATTTCCAGGAACATCATTCATTTACAGCATAGTTGGGCGACATCAGATTTACAATGATTACAGTAAGTCGTAAAAGAATATTTTATTGATCATTACTGTGCAGTGGATGTGGAAATAATAAGCCAAACGCATTTAAAAAAAAGTTAATCAGGAAGTTCATCTCATTTTCTTTTGTCTTTAATAACTAACATGAATAAAATTCCTCAATTCTGATTGGTTAATAACAGTGCACTTTATCGTAAATACCAGTGCAAAAATACGAAACACCGGTGCAAAAGTGTGAAACCTCGGTGCAAAAAAGCGAAACACCAGTGCAATTTATTTTTGAAAAATGCACTCCTGATTGGTTTATGAGAAAAAGAAGTGATCTAAGAGCCAATCAAAATAAAACATTTCAAAGGCGGGAACGTTACATTATTGTTAACAAAGCAATTACAATGGCTGGCGTAAGTTTTAAGTATATTTTCTTTTTACGTTTAAAATGCAGTTAAAAATCAACAAAATTAAGAATTTTTTTCATGTATATTATTAAGAAGTCTTGTGCTCGAGCAATTTTGACAGTCTTTGAAAAACTCACTCGTGCATGTTTTTCCCAAATTGCACTCGAAACCATGCTATTACCTACACTAAATACTAATGCGTTCTGTGCATGTAAAGTTCAACGTTTGATATAGGCCTTAGTTATTCAATTGAAAAATAAAAAGGAGCAAATTTCAGCATATCTTTGCTATTATGTTTGCATAGATTCTTTCTCTGGAGACTCCGATGTTTTAGCTATTTTCGTGCGATGACGGGCTCAGGTAAAGTTTTAAATGGTTATTATCATGCATGTAAGATGAGTGAAAGTTAAAAAATTGGCAATGTAAAACTATAAATAGAATTTCATGCAAATAAATTTAGGAAGTTTGACGTGCATTTATAATAGCTACAATCAGGGAAACCGCAAAAAAACAGTTGTTTATTTTGAGTCGTGGCGGTCGTCAACAAATAATCTTATTGTGCTTCATTAAGTAATTTTTTATCAATAGATCCCGAGCTTAAAAAGAATAAATAATTTTTTATCAATTTATTTCAAATAACCCACAGGTAGCAAAAAATAAAATCATAGGTCGATTTCCACGAGAAAAGGTTCTGTAAATGATTGCTTTTCTATTACTGCCAAAGAACAACTGACAACGGTTGACATTAAAACTGGAGAAATGCCTTCAAATTCAAATTAAGTTCTAACCACTAAATTCATTTTTTAATTTTTCAGGCAATGGTTGAAGTGATCGCTTTGGAGGAGTTTTTTCGTCTTTCAGTGGCTTATTCTAGTCCAATCAATACATGCATGGTTTAAGTATAACATTATGTAGTTAGCTATAGTGAAATAAAAGACAAAAAAGACTATTGAAGCAAAACTCTGTCTTCTTACTTATTATATCCCTAACTTCGTGTCTGTCATTGAAAAATTCAAATTTTAGCATTTGTAATCACCTGAGCTTTTTCTTTTTAGCTTACATCATATTTCACGGAAAACTAATCGTTTGTAAAACGTGAGTTTCATTTTTTGACATACTTTTCAGGAAGCCAGTCAAATATATTGAAAAGTTGACTTTAAATTTTACCACGCCGACGTCGGCCTCATATCTGAGTTATCGAGCATTACTTAAATTTTTTGAAGCAAACGTAAATGATGAAATGTCTATGATTTGTAATATTACATGTTCGCTTTATTTACAGAATTCACAATAAGTACTTAGGACATGATAACATAAAATATTGCCATCAGTTAGGCATCACCTCCCAAAGCCCTTGAAGTGTAAACCCATCTTTTAGCTTCTCTATTGCCAAGCCAAGCTCGGGATTGAACACGGGTTCTCGATCTGTAGACTAAATAAACCAAAACTCTTCTTTCAACAACTGTACTATAACAAAACCATCCACGTACACATATTCTATAAAACACAGTTCTAATGAATCTGCATCTGAAGCCAGCCGAAAGCGATGTAAATAAGTACGAAGTCATTTGATTACAAAGTGCCACAGATCAAACTCGGCCTGAAAATTTCATGAAGTATATATAGGTGTTTTTTATACACCAGTCGCCAAAAATATTACGAATAACAATGTGACAAAAAGAAAAAAAATCATCGCATAACTTTAAAACAGGTGAGGAGAATAAGCCTTTTTTTTTCTTTTCACCGTCAATAAATGTACTACAATACTCTTCCCTCCCTGACGCAATTACAGAAAAAAAAGAGTTAATACATCACCTCAGCATCGGGAGACATGCTTTTGACCAATGAAACATAGGCATAAGGAGGGTCAACGATCGTATACAATAATATTCTTCAATAAAATCGAGGGGAAGAACATGTCGTTGGACAAATTTGGATGGAGAGGCATGTGACTTGTACGTTAATCTTATTAGGAGAAACAGTCGACATGTTTAGAAAAATTGATCAAGAAAATTAGGAATCAAGGACTGTCGACCACATCTTTATATGAATCCAACGAATTTTTAGGCCTTTAACTATATATTTCAAATTCAAGAGCATTCAAGGATATTTAAGGACATCCAGAAAGCTGTTTGTATCATGACCGCAAAATTTTGTATACTTACTCGATAAAATGATTTAAACGTAAAAAAATGAAAATAAATTATCAATTAAATTAAAATCATCTCGGTCAAAACTATACATCATAAACAAATATTTATATTTACTTACTTTATGGCCATCAGCAAAGTACGCCTAAAAGTCAACAAATATACAATTATTAATACGACATCCATAATTAGCACCATTTCCATCAATCAGTCAGAGAGAATTAACAAATGGAACATGAATACATTTTAGAGGCAAAATTAAAATATTTGTCTGTTTCACATTATTGCTATTTTATAAAAGAAAAAAAAGATCTTTTTCGTGTTTGCACTGGCTTATGCAAGCTTCGGAGACGTTTGTGAGAACTCCCGAACATGTGCAACCTTCGGTCTCGGGCTTGCACTGATCTGCTTTCCAATTCCCCCAAAGGTCTCCGAGGTTTGCATAAGCCTATGCAAACACAGTAAACATCTTTTATTTCTTAAAAAGAATTGCTCTAAAATGACATTTAGACTTTAGAAAACGCATGATATATGGGCAGCAAAAAATGAAGCAATGAGGTAGATTGATGAACATATGTAGATTGTTGATTATAACAAAAATATAACAATGCAATAATACTCCGTATATGCATAACTTGTCATATCAAAGCTTAAAGGCTACACGGTAGTTTTACTTCCGCAAACTTTATTAATTTTGCATTGAACCAAAAATTTAACAGTACAACATAATGGTCAGCCATGTATGCATGCACAGATGCTAGCCACTAAAACTACAGAAGCCATAACCGCTGTTATACACCACATCGACAATAGGTAGCAAAGCCAGTTTTCCTACTGCTATACAATGCAAATATTTTGTTCAATTACAGAAAAGACAGCGAATGAAATCAATTCTCAACAGAATGCAAAAAAAAATGATAAAAAAATTCACAGCAGGAACTACAGTAGCGCTCGCGTATTTGCTAACATACGATACGCGTTTGAAACGCGTACGATACGAAAAACATACGCGTATGATACGACAACGAAAGGCGTATGATACGAGAACGATACGAGTATGATACGATAACGATACGAGTATGATACGATAACAATACGAGTATGATACGAGAATGTTTTTCGTATCATATCGTGTTAGTGTGCAATATTAAGAAAATGATACGGGTATGACACGAGAGCGATACGTGTATGATACGACAATGATACAAGCAACACTTTTTTTACATGAATAGCAATGCAAAAAACAAAGTAGTAACCAAAGCATGATTTACCCCTGTACTAGAGAACGTTAACGTACTTAGAACAATCACAAGTTTTTGCTTAGTTCGCGCGCATCTTGTTTTAGAGAGTTTTACAAGAATCAACTTTTTTATATACACTCTGTAGCTATAGCTATGTATATATGGCTATAGATAATTGAGAATCATCAATGGTTAATGAATTTATGATACAAATAGCTGTAGTTTTACGCATATTACAAAACAAACACCATGACCAGCCGGCAATTTAAAAAAATGGGGTAAGAAACAAATTCCGAAGAAACAAGACATCTTGAGATTACAAAATGACTTTGAAATAAAGTCGAAAATTTACAATTCACTTCTCGTGTTGTTCTGATTCATATTTTGTAATCTCAAGATATATTGTTTTTTCGGAGTTTGTTTCTTACAAAACAAACAATTACAAACCTATAAACAGACATTACAGTTGAAAATAATCTTGGACTGCCAGAAACCTATTGTTAACAAAAAACGAATAAAAAACAATCAGAAGTAGGAATAATTGAGTTTTTCAAGTTCGATAATTGAAAATACACAATATATGTGTGAAGAAAAAGGGTAGCCGAGATGAAAATCACCAAAACCCTATATAATAACAAAATTTATAACATTTGTCTTATTTTGGGGAAAAAACTAAAATTCCCGGTGAGAATCATTGAAGACCTGTTAACTACAGGTAAAATGACTTAAAAACAGGAAAGATATGTACAATTGGCGAACAAGTTTTGAACATTGAAACCGATACCAGGTACACCATGTCAATTTCTTACCAAGTTTGTAAAAATAAATTCAAATCTTGTGTGATTACATCGAGTAAGAACATATAAAGATTCTGTCTTACCACGAAGTTTCTAAAAATAATGATAAGACAATGTTTGCTTGCATGTGAAAACATGTTACCTGAAGAAAGTGAATGTTTGTAAGGTGAAGAAAATGAAGTAACAGCACAATGGTGTTTTGCATTATATATTAATTTCGTTTTAGAGAATGAAACTGCAATCTTTTTTCTATTAACGACCAAAAACCTTTAAGAAGATGGGTCGATGTTAGTGGTGAAATTAGTAGTCATATTATGTTGTGAGACTTAGTCAGACTTAATAAGCGAGTCACGTCAGAATTCTATTGGTACGTACGTACATTGCTTGTGATGCACTAAGTCAGGTGGTCTACAAAGTTGTGCAGTTTCAAACAACCTGCAAGTCTTTGGCTTGAAGTGATTTAAATAGTACAATTTGTCTCCTATGACATCTGGTGATGCCAAAGGGAAGTCCATATACGGTAATTCAATCCAAGCGCAAACACAGATTATAAAATGCTCAATAGTATTATGAAAAATAGTTCATCAAATACATTCAACGTGTTTGTATAAAATGAAACAAAATGCTTCTGCCAATGCAAAGGAGAAAAACTTACAGAACTTGCAACTCTAGTGGAAAGGTTGAGGATACATCCAAATCCAACAGCTGAAAAAAAAGAAGGAAGTGCAACCATTAGTTACAGTTTTCCCTCATACACAAAGCAGGTCCATGCATACTTGATTTTGCTTTTACCCCAGTCACAGTCTCTACTTATGTACCGTCAACTGGGGTTATTTGGGACAGTGGTGTAAATTGGGACAAATATTTAATGCTTTGCATTCCATACTCTTTGACAAGCACTCAGTTGATTTATTTAAAAAATTCCTTTTGCACAAAGCCAGTAAGCTTTTTTTCTTTGCTCAGTTGAGTGAAACATTTGAATAGTAATATTTTATCTCATGATTCTTGTATTTTTGATATTTGTTGAATTTGCTACATTTTTCAAGACACGAAAAAAATTGTGCTGTTGCGACGCTTCGAAAATAGTAAAATTTACAAACACTGTAATTTTTGTTACACTACGTTTCTCTTTGAATTTTAAGATGAACGGTTTAGTTTTCTGAGGACTAGTATTTTCGTCAGAGGATAGTTTGGGACATCCGTAGATGAACCACACCTCTAAAGCTTGTACCTTTTTCTTCAAAGCTCTGCCATGTGGCACTGCTTCGAAAGCTGCCATGTTGTATGTTACTTAGTTACGATTTAAAATTGAAATACGGATATTTATGATTTCTGATCTGTAATTACTTGGCTAATTGTAGTTAAAGTGTATTTTTCCTGAAGTGTACCCTTTTTCCAATTTACCCCAGAAGCTTGCACATAAGAAAAACATAACTGGGAGAACATTATAAAACATAAAGTGTCCCATATAATCCTGGCTGGTAAAAACTAAGAATATATAGCAAAATCAAAGGCTGTCCCTATTTTGTCCACATGGGGTAATTTGGGACTCAAGCATATTTTTAAAAAGTGTAGAGACAAAATAAAATGAATGATGCAGTAATTAGGATGATGAAAAACTGTGATTTAAAATTGTAGCGAGAGACTTGCCAAGCGGAAATCGAATACGTGTGATAAAAATCAATGCCCAACATAAAGTTCTGATTAGAGCCATAGAATAGACCAAAAAAAACTGTGATTATTTATTCAACTTTTACCACCAAAACCTCTATTCATACTTCATGCCTTGGTACATTATTTCAAATGTATATGTAAAAACAGTCCCAAATAACCCCAGTTGACGGTATGCATATGTTTTACATGTCAGATTTAATAATTAGCACTACATACTCACAGAGGTTGACACGTTGCATGGTCTGAGAATGCCATATTACTCGAAGATTTGTGACAATCAATCTACATGATGTTAAAGAATAATGATATTGCAATAAAAACAAAAGTTATTCATTGCTGAAAGTGTTTTTTTCCTAACTAGATTAACAGGAATTTCCTAACTATGTTAACAGTAATTCCTAAGTGCATTAACAGGAATTCCTAAGTGCATTAACAGGAATTTCCTAAGTGCATTAACAGGAATTTTAGCAGTGAGTAGCCTTAAATTAGGATATCTTATAGAAACGTAGTTTCTTTGAGCTCAAATACTGACAAAAATACTCCCATTCTATCTAAGCCTTGAAAGTTTTGGGATGAAACAAACAAGTTAAATTTTATCTAAAAGTTAGAAGATGTGAAATAATTTCATAACATAAATATCAATTAATGGATAAATTTTCAAAAACATTTTTTAGAATGAATGGTATTTTTTTTGTTTTCTGGTAATTTATTCTGCACACAAAAACATGCCTATGTATCTAAATTAAGAATTCTTTAAAAAAATATAACGAGTATTGGGTACATAACAATAAGAAGAACATAGAATTTTAACAGATTGTTTTGCTATAGTACCTCTGTCACCATTATTGCCTTTTGTATCTTCAACTGAATCCAACTTATCAATTTGAATCTATAAAGAATAACAAAGAAACTCAGACTATGCAAATAGACTTAGTGACACTACAAATATGGGTACATACTGTTCAAACTAATTGAAATGTAAAATACAATTAACAATCACATTAAAGTGATTGGGAGTTAACTTGTTTAAACTGTACTTAGAATGCACTACACAGGAGTTTATCAAGATATCAACATTACCTACTTGCAAATGTGTTGAAAGACATGCATTTCACAAACTGGTGGATTGCATCTTTATTTTGCAATATAGCAGCCCTTCCCCCACTGAATTATTCCTGATCTCAAAGAATCACTACATAAAGTAATACCTCTCCATTTCTCATTCTCATTTGTCTAGATAAGTAAAATTGATGATATAAGGTTGTTGCTGAGGAATTAATGAACAAGATTGATGTCAAACACAAAATTTTATAAGTACAGTATAGAACATTGAATTATGTTATTGGCAGGAAAACTCATCAATACTTAAGAATTTCAGATTACAATTTTCAAAACTTCTGTAGTTTTCATGCAAACAAGGACTTGCATATTTTCTCTTCATATATCCAATACAATTTTGAAAAGTGCAATTTTCAGCAAATAAACAGAAATCCAAGAGATTTCTGCGGTGGTTTAATTGGTTTTCTTGGCATATAAACCGTAAGACGACATCCCACGGACAACGACTCAATGATCGCTAACGATAGATGTCCTTTCACAAGAAGTTATAAGAGAAAATAGAATATAAGAAATGGAATGAAAGAAACGGATCCAAAAGCAGTGTTCACTTAATATTAAAGTAGCTTTATATCATATTACACATAATATACTTACTGTAGTGTAATGTCAAAACGTACATCACGATCTTTCCATAGTATATCAGCCATAATTTAAAGAAAGAAAGTACTCATAGTCGCTATAAACCAACGAAAAAGTTATTCTTTGCAAGAGCGTACAAAATCCATACAATAATTATTGACACAAAGATAGTCATGGAAACAAGTACATGACAATACTTGATGTTACCAAAAGTATAAAACAATGAGAGTGAGAGACAAAATACTGAGGAAGCCGTTGTCAATAAAACATAGGGTATGTGGCAAAACTTACTCTGTCATAGATCGCATCAACTTTGTCATATATAGCAGCACCTTGAAATTCGAAAACTAATAAACATATTGACTTTATTTAACCCGACATCATATACTAGCTCCGTTCTCCTTACTCCTTTGAAAACATGAAAAACTCAAGAAACAAAAATTATTTCACTGTCTGCTCCTAAATGTCTTACTTGCACAAACAATACGCTTTCATTAAACCTTGCCATGAAAATAATAATCTCCACAGAAAAATCTCCATGACAAGTTGCATAATCTCACACAAAGCAATTCTTTCGTTTCTTTCCAGGGATGTTAAAACCGGAGAGTCCAAGGGGATCAAGGCCCTAAAACGTCATTCAAAAAAGGGCCCTTTTTTGAGGTAAAGTGTTTCTTCATTGTAAAAAAGTTTTTAATGAGCAGTATGCAGAGAAAAGTGCCCTCATCAAGTTTATCTTTCTTCGCCAACAAAGAAATTTTATTCAACTAAGTAAAACATAAAATATTTGGCAAACTTGCACTTACCGCTAAAATTATGTTACTGTTTGTCAGTTTGAGTAATTTAACAATAACGACGACTTAAGAGAATTTAATATGTAACACTAACATGAGGTAGTACCATCGTGTTATCAACTTTCCTGTAGGTTTCACTTCCAGTATAATTGAAAAGACAAAAACCGACTAATCAACACACAGTAAGACATAATTCAGTCAGAATCCTTTTCACCTGTACTTCCCAGGAAATTTACGAGAGCAAGTATAAACAAAAGCAATAGACCAATACCTTGTCCTTTCAAACAAAAGCAACCGGAAAACGACAGCTTACGCCTTAAATAATAAGACAAATACACAGACGGTCAAATCAGTTCTATTAAATTCATGAAAATAAAGCTATGACAAGCGAATCTATGCATGGCGAAAGTAGTGATGGCAGCCAAATCGCCACAATTATATTTAAACGAAGAGATGGCACTGTGTATATATGATGATTTGACTTCGCTACTGTTAAACCTAAAATGCAATCATTTGCTTTCTTATAGTTTCTTTCTGTGTTACATATATACTAGATGCTTTGATTACCTACTGCATCAGCTAAAAGATCCTTTTTCATGGAAAGGTTTCTCAAAAATTATTTCACATAATGATCACCATCACTGAAAAGCACTACGGACAAAAAATATTTGCTCGATTTACACAAACTAACGAGATTCGATTTGCAATTAAACAGTTGCAAAAGAACGCAGATCAAGTCTTTTTCAAAATTTTAAGGACAAAGAACTGTAATCATTATTTCTTTGGTCATTAGCACGGTAAGATATTTTTAACATTAAAAAAGTAATACGTGTCAGCCTTAAATGTCCTTTTCACCAGGAAAGTTCCCTAGAAATTTATCCCCAACTTAAATGTGCTTCCCACCCCTATTTTTTTCTTTTGCATTGATTGTATTTTATTTTGGTTGAACTAAATTGATCAAGTCCCTCGTGGAACAAAAAATGCAAAAGAAATTTGCACTGTCTGTGTAAACATGACACGAAAAATATAGTAAGCTCAAAAATTACATTTACTTTTTATATAAAGTAATTAATTGAAGAACAAATTACTTTTCTGAGAAAAACATAAAATTAGCAACAACAAATGCCATGTGAAGAAGTAATTTACTTATTACTTTTAAGGTTACCGAGCTTCAATTCAACATTACTCCCGGAAGGTAGAAATACAACTATGCAAGCGAAGAAATCTCGGAAGATAAAATTTCATCTTATGTGAAGTAATATGAAATTAGTATAAATTACTATGAAGAATGATTCAAAATAGCCTGACATTATATGTGCCAGTAATAATGGAGCTGAAATAATGATCACATCATTACTTACAGTCACGTATAGAGATCTATTCCCACGACATGAACTCATGTTCAACCCATTTTGAAGCTGTTCACATGTTACGAGATAACTTTTTTGACAGCATCATTCTGTCCTCTTATTTGTATGAAGACATTTAAATAAACATTGACAAAATGCTGAGAATGACGTTTTATCGAAAATGTCATCCCCTCCAATACTTTGGTTCATCGCATCATTGTAAAAGCAAAATATGTTCGGCATGCAATCAAATTCACATGCTCCTTCTACAAATTTACTCTTATAAGTTAGAATTGCACACCTTGGAGAGAAATTGCATGAATTTAACAAAGTCAGAGTTTAGTTACAATTACAATATAATGTAGTTAAAAGAGATGGAAAACTAAACAGTGTCCATGTATGGACGCAATTGATGGTTTCACATTCCCATAAAAGCTTCGTTCTTACGTACGGAGATAGGCGAAAACATGTAAAATATAAAATAGTAAAATCTACACAGTTATTTCCATTTTATGCCGCTAGCTAACCAAATTAGTTCAATTACTTAATTCAGATCATAACTAATACAGCCCTTCTGGTGTCATGCAAGTTGCATATCAACGTTCGACGTTGACGCAAGAAAAAGAACATTTTGCACTATCTACACAATGTGGTGATGCAATTTACAATGAACGAAACAGGATTTTTTTTATATCAACTAGCCTGTCCAAATTGCCATATTTGAGAGTCACTATCTGCGCACGGCACAACTTTGACGTGTGTCGCCTTACTGTCCTCACGATCAAGACAAACATTACGGCGAATATGTCGAATCTGCAAATCCTACGTATACAAAATAAATTAAACATTATACAAAGTCATAAGTAAAAATGATGTGATGTCACATTCATAAACACATCATGCCCTTCACACATTGGCGTAGACAGTTCGCAAGTTTCCTCCTGCTCATATTACGTACGTAGTCCTGCTATTTAAAATCATTAAAATTTTTCATTTCTTTAAAAATCGAAATGTTTTTACAGTGAATGAACACCGAAATATTCACATAAGCAAGATTGACTTTCCAGACTGGCTTGGCCATTACGTATGTAAATTGCTAAATTGTTCAAAGGACTGAACAATTTTTTGCTGAAGTACAAATTCAGAGTTTCAGCTTTTCAATGTGTATGTTAAACTTTTTATCCTATCACGGTAAATCGTACTTGACAGTGTTACAAATTTCCCATCCAATTTTGAAAGATACATCCATTTTTTATACATGACTACTTCAATGATTATCCATATCGTGCTTTATTTTTGAAGTTCTTTGACTAAGCCCGTTTCCCACATAAGTTACAGACTGGGAAACATTCATCGTATTAAAATTTTAAAAACTATGTAGAACTTTACAAACATTGAATCATTTTGCTAATTTCGTCAATGCCAAAATTTAAAAAATATCACATGAATTGTACATGAGTTAGTTAACAACATGTTTCGATTAAGAAAAAAAACCTTAAAGTGCATATAAACCTTACATGATTTTAGTATTGTCTGAAAGAACAACTCTGGAAATTAACAAATTCAAAAAAATAAATTGATTTACATTAAATCTAATTTGGAAAATTGCTGTTAAAAATCCAAATTTACCGTTTATATTTTTCACTAAGGGATCTGGTATCAAGTTCATGTCGTTACGTCATGTAAGGAACACAGTTCGCACGGCTCTATTTAATACAAGACAAACTATCTGCTGTAAATTGTCCATAGCGTCCTTTTTTTAAAAATTGGCCTTATTTAGGTCGGCATCTTCATCGGTGGATTTATCAGAAAATGAAATTTTTGACATAGACTTCGACAGCAGTGTTCAGCAGCAACACTAGGCTTGAATGCAAAAAGAACACGCAGCATAATATTTACTATTTATATCGGAAGGTAAGACGGGATGTTTCCAAGACGGGTTGTATGCATCCTTCGTTTATATGAGTTTTTACACCGAGACAAAAAGTAACTGAGCATGAGAAACCATCATATCACGTCTCCTCAGCCTTGATTTTCCAAAGCATTTGTCGTTCGCGGCATCCGTACTTCGTCGTGTGAGCTTTGTAAGAAATTCAGACAATACAAATCTCGCTTTCAGAATGGCATATTTTTTGCTTTGTATTTGACTCGAACAAAAAATTACAGTTGGTAGTTCTGAACTTTGACTGCCAACTATCGTTTTGTTTCAATGCTGTTGTGTTGCTACATTTATTTATATCCGGTTGATTTTGACAGGTTTAGTATCTGGATAGTGAAAAATTTGAGCATTTATGTGACCAAAAAAATGTCCCGTGTTGACCAAGATCACGGTTAAAAAAAATCGACCCGACTAACCGTCACGAGACAAAAAACGTCCCGGTTCCATACAAACAAATGACAATTACATATAGAAAATGTATAAAATCCGAGGTCTCATTCATCTCCCGTTTCGGGAATCAATCCATCCCGGCTCTCATATAAACAATCGCTTTTTGTGCCCCATATACGTAGGAGAAGATTCGGCCAGCAATGACTGAGAACAAAGACTCTACACAAGCTTGCTTGTCTTGCAAATTAAATATACCGGCTAGTCAAGTTCTTCAGTTTAAATGTAATTTGCAAATACTATACATAGCTGATATTGGGCATTTTACTCGCTTTAACGCAACAAAGTCGACCCTCTTATTTCAAAAGGATTGACGGACCCATTAAAAGAAATAAGTGAAGGCAGGGAACGTTAGAAATGCCGGTTACAGTCGAGTGAGTTGGCCTTATATGACAACATCTTGCTATACTTTTCATATATCTTTACGACAGTTGAGACCCGTGTTACTTAAATCATGTCAACTGGACGCGCAGGCCCAGTTCTATAACGGTAAAACCGAGCGTTTAAAATGGTATATTTTTGCATTTTTGACGGAGTTCACAGCGCAAACTATTTTTCCGATTACAGCAAAATTTTAGATTATGGCGTTTGACACCACGTACATTGGATACTGTAAAAACCACGTTAGGTTTATATGAACTTTAAAGACGAAATGCAGGCAAATATAGCTTGTATTCCCATTTTTGATTCCCTTCCAAACCATCACACTCCCTTAGATATAAGTCGTAGCCATTGTAATCCAAACAATTGTCTTCCGTTTTTATTTCTCCCTTGCTGTTCAATGTGAAGTACTATAGTGAAAATACAAAACAAAATTTTAAGATATAGCAGCCCCCAAAATTCTGCCATTGTTACTTTCACCATGCAATCTGGAAAATTGTGAAGATGGGAGATTTAAAAGAAAAGTAGAATAGAAGGGGTTAATTAGGTCAGGGAAATAATGGGAAAGAGGATAAGTAAAAACACTTTATTTGAGACGCACAAATGAAATTGAAGAGTATAGATAAGTAGGGATAGAAGGAGTAGAAAAAGTGGAAAGAAGAGAAATGACATAGACAAATCAGCGCACTGTTTCATTGTGTTTATTTTATAAAATAAAATGCCCAGTACCTAGGGCACACCACACACCGTCTTTGTATCTGCCAAATTACGCAATAAAACTAAATCACCTAATGAAATCACCTGAAAACAGTCAATGAAGTCACAATGAAATAATTTTACTCTCACACTTCCTTAGCAGCTTTGCTCTTAAAGTAACTGCATGACTAAATTTTTACCTAACAAAATGATCGACAAATTATAATTGTGAGTAAATTTATAAAAATGCAACTGCAACTGATTATTTTGCATCAAATGGACCCTGGCCGACGCTTACTTGCGGAGCGCAGGCTGGGGCGAAACTAGAACGATAATAAAGGGATAAATTAAAGTTAAAATTGCCAACAAAACAAATCAGCGGGACAGAGCTCAACATATGAATAATCACACACCCCGCCCAAAATTAGCGTGCTAGTTTCACTCATGAACGCGGGCTTGTATTGTTATTTTGGCAAGAAAACGTATGTTCGGGATCATATGGTTATATTTATGGTTATGGTTATGGTTATGGTTATGGTTATGGTTATGGTTATGGTTATAGTTATGGTTATGGTTATGGTTATGGTTATGGTTATGGTTATGGTTATGGTTATGGTTATGGTTATGGTTATGGTTATGGTATGGTTATGGAAATGAATTATTGTTTAGAAGTTTCTAACGAACAATTTTTGTTGTCATGTTATTTTCAATTAAAAATGAGATGCAGTAATGTCTGTGGCTCACCTTATATCCACCTCTGCCCCGAACACCAATGATTTGGAATGCGTGCACACCATGTTTAAACTTTTAAAAATTTTCCAGGAATTACTAAGCCCTTAATAATCGAGCTCGAGGTATTAACTGAAAAATAACGGATCGAGGTCTTTTTGTTCAGACCGAGCCCTTTGGACGAGGTTTGTACAAAAAGACAGAGGTCCGATATTTCTCCATAAAGACCGAGAAAGGAAGGTTATTAAAAGGTTTATTTTATGGCATTATTTGACATGAAACAAAGCTTGCTTTCTTTCTCGTTTTTGCTGTTTTGTACGGGTTGACTTTCACTTTTCTAACTCTTATCAGTAAAAAAGAATTCGTTTCAAATTGTATGGTCCGAATACTTAAACTGTTTTCCGAGTGTTTTTCCTTCGACTCACATTTGCAAATCATTTTTATTTTTGTTTTTTTTTGCATTTTGCTGTTTGCTTGACGAGGTTTGTTCACATTTGACTGTAAAATTACGCGTTTTGGACCGTGGTCGATAACGAGAAAAAACAATGGACCGGCAGAAATGCTTCTGAGCCAATCAAAGCGCGCCACTTTTTGGAAGTGACGCTTGCCATGTAATAATATATATTTTACATTCGAAGTCAGTATTTACTCTTTGCAAAAAGCAAATTTTATTAAAATTTATAATAGATTCTACAATCATTACCCTGAAATATAAGAAAGGAAAATTAACAAAGCACATTAATTGAAAAAGCCTTTTTCTCTACTGAAAACACAAATTTTAGATTAGTGTACATGCATGGGGCGTCAGAGTGTAAAGTGAAAGCGACTCCCAAGATATACTGGCCCCTGACAAAATTATCGATTAAATATTGTTAGTAATTAGACCTTTGGACTTATAAAACTTTATAACTTAGCCTATTAATACTTTTAATGCACAAATTTGCGATTTTAGTGTATTGTCAATATCATATAAATATTATTATGTAAAGTGATTTTGGAGACGTATTTCTAACAAATTACTTCAATTACTCTTTCACCAAATATGTAAATAGATATGTGTGCATATGGCTGATTGAAGGAGAGCCCCTCTGCAGTTGTATCACTTCAAATTTTGTATAACTTTTACCTGTCACAAGTAATACACTCTCTCATATTACATCACGAATCGACAAGCATTTTTATCGGCTATAATGTTAGGTCTTATGGCAAACCTCATAGCGTTCTTTCAAATAAAATTAGTGCTTTCCAGTATCTAAATGCTTATTACTAAAGACCAGAAAATATTCGATAATTATCATCACAGTCTTCTTATCATGGGCAGATAAAAGTACGTCAATCTCTTCGATGAGGATATTTTTGTAAAAAATCGGGACGTACCAGCGCTTAGTGGACAACTTTGTCAGTCGAACTGTGATTAAAGAAGAATGGAAAGAGCATCGAAATAGTCTGTGGTAATTTGATGTTTGTTTATCAGCCTACGCATGCGCCATAAGCAGAAGCATCGTTTTCAATTGTGTTCGTGTGGATGGAAAAAACGCTATGAAAACGCCACTTGTGGACGTAAATCTTTTAAAAAACGCATAGGAGTTGCGTTTTCAAATGAAAACGTATACGAGTGGACGGTGCCTCATATATTTACAAATGTAAAACATTTAGAACAGTTTATAAAGTACTTTAATGTTATGTTAGTTTTTTTGTCTTCATTCACTATGAAAAAACTATCGCTTTAACAGAAAATGAATAATGATAATGTTTTACAAAGTAAAACTTTCATAGCTGTACTAAAAACTTTTAGGGTGGCCATACCACTCTGTCATGGGGCAGAGAATTTTAAAGCGAAATCAAATACAATTCAACTGATTCAAGAACAAAAGCGGTTGACTTAAGTGACGCCACTGGATATAGAGAGTACATGTTACTAAATAAAAATGATTTCTTTATTACACGGAGCAACAACAAAATTGGCAGCTTTCTACTATATCTTTATTGGTTTGCAGATGATTTTACAAAAGAAAACATCCGAATTAGCCCACACATGCAATCTAACTTCGCTCTCTTCTACATTGAATGTTGATATTATTTCCAAGAATTACGCAAAAATATACGTTTCTCTGCTTACAAATATACGGTAAAATGCTTCATATTATCCACGACGTCATCAGTGGCCCCAACGAAACACATAAAATTCGCTTAAAAAACATGCAAAAAAATTAAGAGATGCAAAAAGAAACTGCTGACTGGCATGTATGTGAAGCCAAATTTATCATTTGAATATTCAAATTACACACACGAAGTTGGGAATTATAAGTATAGACAGTTTAGACGTACATATGCTTCAAACATCATTTATTTCATGATAACTACATAAAGTTATATTCAAATCATACAAATACTTAAACTGAAATGAACAAACTCATTAGCTACTACAAAAGACAAAAGGATTGCTCGAAAAATGATTAATCGATTGCCTAAAAATAGAAAGCGACTTTAATAGTATTTGTAGTGTAATAATAATTCTGTGTAATTCCAGTTTATAACTAAACAACAATGTTGTTGATTATTTCAATATTATCAGATACGACAGCTATTGCATTTTTATGATGTAATTTTTATTAAATCGGCTCATGGTATATCAAAATACTTTCAGAAGTCAAAGAACAAAAATTCTATAGAATTTTAATGTCAGTCGTTCAAAGCTAGTAGATGTAAAAGCCATCTTCAGATGGCAATAAACTTAAAGCTATTGTAACAGACCGTTACATGTTTGTAAATGTAGATCATCCAGGTTGGTATAGTCCTGAGAAGGACTGTTTTTGTTGTTGTTGACTGACGTTTCGACAACCTTAGCGGTAGTGATTTTCAGAGTCAAATGAAGAGTAAACGTCAGGTTAGCCTTATTTGTTATCTGGTTCTTACGTCATCAACAAACACACTCACATCAACAAACAGAACAGCCACATACAATTTACCAAAGATGTCGAAGAAAACGGAACCTTCCTTTTCTCGACTGTTTGGTAAAACATGACAATCAAAAACTACGAACAACAGTTCATCACAAGCCAACACTTACTGACCGACTACTAGACCAATCATCTTACAACCCTACATCACACAAAGCCGCCACAATCAGAACATTAACAGGACGTGCACAAATCATATGTGATTCACCGGACGCTCTACAAAACGAAAACAACAATCTCAAACGTGTTTTTGACAATAACAACTATAACTCTGACTTTATCAAACGCAAAACTTACAAACCCAACGAACCCAACGAAACGAACAATTCAGTGACAACAGCAACGATACCTTACATCAAAGGTACGTCTGAGACTATCTCGCGTATCTTACGACCATACAACATACGTGTCGCACATAAACCAATCACAACGTTACGACAAGTACTAACGAACATAAAGGACAAAGAACAACCCAACGAACGACAAGGTGCAGTTTACAAAATGAACTGCTCCGACTGCCACGCCTCCTATGTTGGGGAAAATGGCAGGAACTTAAACATAAGACTTACTGAACACAAATGAGCTACTAAGAAACAAGACAAAACTAATCACATTGCCGAGCATCACCGAACCACAAAGCACAACATTGAATGGGTCTCAGCAGAATGCAGTACTTACAGTACTGACTATAGACACAACGGCTTACATTAGAAAGTTGGTACACCAACTTGGACCAAACCCCCCCGAACAGATCACAGCAATTACGGGCACCTTAAAAACGATCAACTGAAAACATTACACTTCACACTAATTCACAATGACAATACAAAATAGACACCCAAACATTACAACTAAAACATCACACCTTAATCACACATCACAACTAAAAACATTTCACTTCACTCTAATTCACAATGACAATGCACAATTGACACCCACACATTTCCTGTACACACAATACAATAACGTAAGAACCAGATAACGGCTAAACTGACGTTTACTCCTCATTTGACTCTGAAGATGACTACCGCTAAGGTGGTCGAGACGTCAGTCAACAACAACAAAAACAGTCTTTCTCAGGACTATACCAACTTGGACGATCTACATTTACAAAGATGTAACGATACTCCCGGGATGAAACCATTTACTTTGTAACAGACCGTCTTAGCGTCTTCCAAAGAGCAAAGAAGAAATATCCCTATGTTGATATTACAAGGAACTACCACATAAAAATGTTAAATGTTTCTGCATTTAAAACTCAAAATATTGGTATGGATTTCCATTTTAGAACCTGGTCAAATAGTTCTCTTTAGCTTTGACTCATCTTGGCTATATATGCATGAGAATATAACCATTTTTAAAACTTTACCTGAATAAATCAACGCACAAAAATAGCCAAAACATCGGAATCTCGAGAGAACGAACCTATGTAAACATAATAGCAAAGTATAGATATTAAACATTCTAAAATACTTGCATTGACTTATCTGTGTTTTTAAATAAAAACATAGCGTAAAACGAGATTACATGCGTTTAAAAAAATTTTTTTTAAGGCTTTAAGTGTCTATATCATTCTCAGGAAACTAATCTATTTAGTTTATCTATTTGACTATTTTCAGCAAAAATTTTAATCTTTGAATTTTTGGTCGTCAAATTTGGCTTTTTTTGTATCTGACCGTGAGGTGTTGTGACTGGGACCCCGTTTACAATATACCAGATTGCTTTTGTTTCGGATTGATTTTCTATCTGATAGAAATTTTATGTGGTGTTCACACTATACATTGCCGTTTAGCCCTTTTGAGGTCTCTATTGTCGTGGTAACAGATAGTCTTGCTCTAAATTATACAACATGTTGTCCAACTCAAAGGAAATAAAAACTTGAAAGCCATTGAAAGACTTTAAGATACTTTTGGAAGTATTTAAGAAATTTGCGTTGCAAAAGATTGACTGGAAAGGTGTGGATACAAAAGATGAACAAAATACTAGCATATTATTGTTCCCTAATATTGAAAGCACCAAGCATATCATAAAGACTACCGTTGAACACGTGAGATAAATAGCAACCATTATGAAATTTCGGACATAACAAATGTCAAGTGTGCGCCAAATTGAAGTCTCTACTGGATTGCTCTGTTTACACTACGCCGCCAGGTATTGCATTGCTTTTAGTGTCACCTTCAGAGTGGAATGATTTTCGCTACGCCAGACATACCGAATTGATTCGATGCAGTGTAGACAGCAGCTCAATCCTATACAAAAATCACGGCGCGACGATGCAATCCGGTATAGTGTAAATAGGGCCTGGATCTAGTTCACCAACGTAACGTATGTGAAGAGCACGCTATTTTTAACGCTCTAGAATTACAATGTGATACAATAACAAAGAGTACAATACAACTCAAGTTTACTAAAAAATAAATTTCTTGACTTTGCCACAGTATTTCTATAAACTACAGCGTTCAAAAGCAGCGTGTTCTCCAATGTACGTCACGTCCGGTGAACTAGACCAATTCAAAGCACCTCAAAGTCAAACACAAAAAAAGGCCAACTTTGAGGCCCAAAAAGCCAAGGAAGACAAATCTTCGCCTCAGAAATTCTACTACAAAGAATGATATAAGTAATTTAAACCAAAGAGAAATACTTCCATCATTTCTACATCATCGTGGAGATTTTTCGATGTACAACAGAAGCAAACAAAATTTTTACGCACATAACAACAAAAACACAATTGCATTTTTGCACGACACAGCTTGTGCCACCATAGGTACACGAATGTTATTGGTGATTGAAGGTTTTAATTCATTACAAAAATTTGCTGCAACATTCTATTTTAGAAAAGAAATGCAGCTTTTTCTAATGCTGAGTAAAACGTAGCTAATAAAAAAAATTATGATAAATTTTATGATTTTTGTTTACTAGCTATAATTTAAAACGATTTGTCAAATATTGCTAACTTCAACGTTAAATTTCGTATGATTGGGCAATAAAGTTTAGAAGCTGTTTTTCTTCATAATTTAATATCATGCATTCATTTTTAAAACACTAAAGTGCAACTATTCTGGTGCAAAAGCAAAGCATATATGAAAATTGACGTCTAGAACTTACTGTATTCGTTATAATTCTGATGTCGCCCAATCTTTCTGCAAATGAATGATGTTCCTGGAAATCGTGTTTCCCATGGGCATTCTATAGAGTTTCCAATGCTTAACCATCCATCATCCTTAGGACATCCACCATATTTGTGATTTATATGAAAATCACGACATCTTCCTCTCCAACAAGGTCCTTCATTTGTTAAGTAGTTAAATGTAGAGGATTTTATATTATGCCATGGTGACTGCACAAGGTTATTTTTCGTAAACCAGTTCATGTAGCTGCTATGTTTACTGTTGAACTTTAATACAAACTGCTCCAAACCATCTTTGTACAGCACGAAACGTACCTAATAAAAGAAGACAGAAAATATCCAGATCAGCATGTTTTAGCATTTTCTATCACATCGAAATTGTACTTGTTAGACGGCATTAACTCTTTGAATTGACGTATTTTAAAAATTAATAATTTGTTTTATATTTAGACCTTATACAACATTACAATTTCATAGGTGAAATCTTTTTTTATCGATCATAATTATACCTCACTAGGCTTTACTTTCTTCCAATTAGTTGGGTTAACCATTCGATTCTTGTAAAGTCCAATGAAGGATTTAGATTTATTAAGAGCTTCTAAAGTTGATTCATGTGAAGGCGACGTCTGCTTCCAGAATTTGCTAATGCTTGTCAATTGGTTGCCTCCAGAAACAATTTTGAATACCATTGTATATCCTAACAGAATAAATGGTTACGTGACTAATATTTTTATAATTTGATTTTATTCCTACATAGAAACATACGTATGACATTGAAAGCTATAGCGAACGCTAAAAACAAACGGCTTAGTTAGTAAATAAGTTGACTTTTAAAACAAAATACAAGATGCAAATTTATTATTCTGTTAAAATTTGCAATACTACTGCCATAAGCATCTTACCAAACTTTGATGAATTTTAAAGCAGATTTTGAGCAGTTCTTTATAGCAACTTACTTGACAAATACATCGAATTGTCAGTTTCAAAAGTTTCTGTTTTTACAATTCAATGATTTTCAAAATTTGTGACAATACACTTCATATAATTACTTCCGGACGTTTACAGGAAAGCAAAAGATGTATCTTACAAAAACTTCAAAAAATGTTATTATGCAAAAGAGCATCTCGCTTAGACTATAGCACATTTATATGTGACAGCTATATTTCCCGTGCACTTAAAATATGACAAGTTTGTTAGCATACCTCCGGTTTTTATGTCACAAAACACTGGAAATGCATTTTTCGTACTTTCTAAAAGAAAAAAAATGATTAAGAGTGTATTTGAGCTTACGCTGCATAAATAGACTTTTTTAAACAGATTATATGATAATTAGCTTAGTGCCAACAAAACGGTTCGAAAAACTTAAACCACTATATGATATAAATTCTAAAAAATTCCGTGCATGTATACTAAAGCAATCTTAAACGTTTTTTGCTAATAACTCTCATAATTTCTCTTTAATAAATAATGATAGTAGATTAAAACCTTGTAATGTAACACCTTACTGTTTAAATGTAGAGATATCCAATAAATGCCATCATTAAGACATCGTTCTGATGTTTTCATAAGAATATCAAAGCAAGACTTTCCTGGCGTTTTTTTGGTACCATACTGAAATAGTTAAATCATGACACCATATTTAATGTTATTAACTTTTAAACAGTAGCATTTTCGCAAACAATCTCAAAATATAAGAACTTGGTTATAGGCTTACTAAGTTAATTCTAAGTTAATAATAGAATGCTCTAAAAATCTCCAAGGAAAGTCTTCCAAAAACTATAAGCAATATTTAATTGAAATGATTATAAAGTTTGTGTTACATGTAATAAAATGTTTGTGGCACCTATATTGCACGTATTAGAGACGTTTGTGTAGGTAACAGTAACAGACAATCCTTTCCAGAATGTACGACAACCAACTTTTTCAGGGGGAAGGGGGGCATAAACCTATATTGCTAATAGTAACGAGTGCTTTAAAGACATTCACAGAAAGAGTGGCCACCCTATATTAATTACTATCCATAATTTTCAGTTATTTATGTAACTAGTGAGCAAATAGCTCCCGTAGGTGTATGTTATTTAAAGTTTAACAATGTTGTTGTCCTGCCACAAAACAATACAATACGTAAAAATGGCAAATACAACTATACAAGCTTGAATTTGAAACTTTGTGTACATACCAGCAAGTTCCAGTTTTAAATATTGTATGATCAGCTCTTTCATTATGATGGTTAAATTTACATATTATATGAATTGTATATTATACACTTAATATATAAGTTTGAGGAAAATAGTGACGAAGTCAAAGGAATCATTGCATGAAACTTGAGGAAAATGAAACTCACTATTTCCTAATGTAGTGTAGATCAAGTTTTTTGTTATGTATAAACAAAGATAGATTTTAACATTTTTTCAAAAATCAACGTCTTTCGGAGGAGATTCATTGGTAAAATTACGTAAAAAAATGCTATATAAGGGTGACAACAGCATACCGTCAGGTTACAGTCACATTTGAGTCGATTGTCAGCATAAGATGAAGAGAAAATGAAACAGGCCATAATGACTAAAGGAAACAGCACCATGTTCACATTAAATTGTTAGAAAAAAAATTTAATATACACACATGCTTATAATATCATTGACAAATGGATTTTTTTTTAACTGTTGTTTGTTAACAATAAGAAACACAGATCATGAATCTGAACAGAAAACGGTTAAATGTAATGTATTTCATTTTATATACTATGAAATCAAAAAAATTCTCAAATTAAAGAGGCAAATGGTTTTTGTTTCCTTCTAAGTTAGCAAATCGGGTTTTTTCTTCTTTTCTGGTTCAAATACTTCAGCCGCTTAAACAAAGTTTTTTTCATCTTCATTTGCCCGGTCACGGATAAATCAAGGTAAATATTCAAGCAATCCCGCCATTTTTTCGTCAATGTCAAGAGAAATTTTTCCTAGTGAAATCCTAGAGAAATTTTAGAGAAATCCGAAATATTGTTATAATACTAAAATATTAGCTAAGCTATAAAATGAGGTTATAATAGCATGCTATATAACAAGACGCAAATATTGCAACTAGTTGAAGAATTTTAGCTCGAAATAATTAAGAAAAAAAACTTATAACACATTCTTCCTTTCATTTTGGTCGGCCATAAAACTATGTCATTTTGGTTTATTGTTGTACAAGTTATTATAGAGGTCGGTGTAGCTAACTCATAGTTTGATAGATTCCGTCTTGAGTTTTTTAAAATGATGCTGCTCGTTTTTGAAATTCAGCAGTTTGATTTTTATGTTCAAATGTAACCGTGAGATTTTTAAATTTTACCATGGTTTATTTTTAATGTTTCCTTAAGCTTTTCATATGCTGTAATAAATTCATAAAAATTGTTATACATCGTAGACTTAGGTTGTCGTTACACCTACTGATATAAGCCACTGTATGGTTATCGTTCTAGTTTCGTTGCTTTTAAAAATTTCGACTGTTTGACTTCCGGTATGCACGAAACAATCTGAGCTCAGTGAACTGAATTAAAAGTTATTTATGGAGTTCACTGTCTGGGCTCCACGCTAACATCAAAGATTAACAACGCGAAGTGTCTTTATATGTGCATTCGCTATTCAAAGCTGACGTAATGGTAGATTTATTTGGTGGTCGAGTGAATAAGGACCAAAACATTATCGTACTAATCCTTTTCGGCGTTTGTTGTTTCATATTTGGACATTTCTTTAGTGGCCTTGTTCAAAATAATGCTATTATCGTCGATGAATGGAAAGATATTGTTATCTTTATAGGATCTTTATGTCTGAATATAGGAGACACGATCTTGCAGCTTTTAAAGGCTTGTATCATTCCACTGATCATCATCTGTATTTTATATGCTGTGGTTTGGCTGGACACCAGAACCGCAGAAAATGTTGTTCGATACTCGGCGATTTATTATTTAGGCATGATACTTATCACAGTTGGAATTACACTGGCGTTGAGGTTTGTATAGGGCTTGGACGCTGGATTATTTTAACAATAGTTAGCTAAGCTCCTTGCAAACTTTTATGTTTTGCATGAAGCTCAAAACTACTGCAATAACTATCAAACAAAATATGAAATTGAATGAGGACAGAATTTTCTTTTAGTTCTTCTTTCAAGTGAGTTTTGCGATGTTTGCGCAATAAATTAATGATCTCATATAATGAAAAGAATTTTAGTTAATTTCATGCTCTGTTGAGTATCAGCACTATGATGTACTCCCCAACATGGCCGCTTTGACGTCACATGAATACATTCTATAGGCTATCTTCAAAAATTGGAACCACATTTTTCACTTAAAAACTTCAACATGACGTTCATATTTATGATATATTTTTCAGAGAGAAACTAGGGTGGAATGGAATTGCTAAGGAAGAGAAGGTACACCTAAAACATAAAAGAATTTGTTGATAAAGCAATCTTTATTTCCATAAATAACACCGTTCAGGGTGCCTCCTGGCAAGCTGATTGCTGGAGTGCACATTGCTCTGTTCACACTGAGCTCATGGCAGTTACGCCACTGACATCATTGTGTCTATAAGATAGCAACATAGTTACACGAGTGACGATAAATTGTTGAGAAGATGGGTTTGCCGATGGTTTCGCTCGCGTGATCCTGTGATTTCGGCAAAGTTTCATAGACATGCATCAGCACAATCATAACATTTGAATTCATTCAATATTAATTTAAACAAACATCGTACAATTTGACGTTACAGTTTTAAACGATTTAATTTTTACTGATGAAAACTATAAAAGTGAAAGCCAACCCGTACAAAACAGCCAAGACGAGAAACAAAGCAAGCTTCATTTCATGTCAAATAATGCCACATAATAAACCTTTTAATAACCTCACTTTCTCCATCTTTACTGGGAATCGAAACATCGGCATTTCGTTTCTTTTTACAAACTTTGTCCTACGGGCTCGGTCTGCACAAAAACACCTCGGTCCGATATGTCTCCGTAAAGACCTCGAGATCGGTTATTAAGGGCTTATTATCATGTTTAATAATGACTATATTTATTTCTCATTCTATTAGTAGTATCCTTTTTCTATTTGACTTGCTATTGAGGTTTGATTAATTAGTAGAGTTAATAATATTCAATGAGACGTGATGTTAACACTAATACATACAAACATACTTATTTCAGTATGGTACCATCAAGTCACCTGGCAAATCCTGCAGCGATATTCTTCAGAAAAGATCAGAAGGCTGTTTTCCCGATGACATTTATTGGATTTCCATTGAACCAAACAGTAAGACATTAAAACTTACGTTGGTACGTGTTCCATACAAGTGTTTAATATTTATTCCAGAGAATTTTACAGTAGCATGCATCAATAAAAATCAATTGAAAACTAATTCTCACTCGTACGAAATGCATTAAAGGTATAGAATACTTTAAAGGATACAGTATATACGAGATTTTGCAAGTTTCGTGTGGTTATTTCAACAAACATTTCAATGACATTTTTATATTACGTTATATATCACGATACTACGCTGTCCAGGTAATTTTAACATTACTAGTGCTTGGGTTTCAGGAAAAGAGATTGATAATTTTTTGTAATATTTCGTACAAGCTCACACGTTAGATTAATTACCTTTTATTATACGGCAAGCGTCACTTCTGGTGAAATGGTGCTCCTTGATAGGCTCAGAAACTTTTTGCCGCTCCATTATTTTCCCGCAACGGAGACGGTCTATCACATGTAGCTAATTTTACAAATGCCCGTTTTTATGTTTAAGACAGATAGTACGTCTGGACGACTTAAGACGAATTTTTTTAATGCGTCTCTTAAATCGTCGGAAGGATAAAGACGGTTATTAGACGAATTAATTGTCAAGACGACTTTAGCTTTTAATTCGTCTTGAGAGGATTTAAAGTTGTCAACTCGTCTCGACCAGTTGATTTTGCCGTTTAGTTTAAGTCAACCAGATGTATTATCTGACTAAAGAATAAAAACGGCCAATGTAAAAAAAAAACGAAAGAAAAACCATATAGCTACGAATGTGAGTCAAAAATAGAGCACTTGCAAAGTGGGTTTATTGTTCAGATGACACAATTTCAAACAATTTATTTTTTACCGACAAAAACTAGTGGAGTGAAAGCCAGTCCTTGAACAACAGCGAGGACAATAAAGAAGGAAAGCTTCGTTTCTTGTCAAATAATGCCATATAATACACCTTTTATTAATTTCACTTTTTCAGTTATTACTGAGAAATCTCGGAGCTATATTTTAGTACAACCTTGCCCAACGGGCTTGGTTTGCACAAAAAATTCGGTCCTATATTTCTCCGTAAAGACCCCGAGCTTCGTTGATAAGGGCTTATAACACTCTGTTTATGATGTAGTTCACGCAGAGTCAATTACAAATTTTTTAAGATTTTGTTCATTTTTCTAGGAAATAGAGAAAACGCATTTCCAGTGTTTTGTGACATGAAATCAGGAGGTAAGCAATTTCAAACTGAAACTTTAATGCAAGCTTCATAATGAACGTGATAAAAGCATTAAGAGCACGTGATAAAGAGCACGTGACAAAATTATTTATTTTTAAAAAAAGTGCCTAGAATAACATGCAATGATAATTGTAACAAGAAAGTTTAATGAAGAATGTTTTATGCAGTGCGGTGTTTGAAATTAAATGAAGATATGATCTTCGCACTTTTGCTGGACAATTTAAGCAATTGTCTCATGAACCTGAAAAATTCAGGTGACTCAACGGGATCATCCAAGTTCATCAAGAACATGAATCAAAATTACTTTATATCTTAAAGTAATTTTCTTGAAAAGTCACAAAGCACAAGTTAATCCAATGGCAATTGGCCTTCTCGTTTAAGCAAAAAACCTTTTCAAATCATAAGTTACTTAAAAACATTGTGTTAGGTACATTTAAAAATAAACGCCTACATTGGCTACATAATGAATATATACTTACCGGCGTTGAACAATTACAATGCCAACAAAATGGCCGTCACACCTACCGTGATTTGCGCGCAATGCATCTCGGTTGACATACATTCTTTCATTACATAAACTGGACGCTCTTTCAAGTGGAGAAATCAATTGTAATGATGGTATTAGCCTTATAAAGTGTTTTTAAAAAGTTTTTGTTTGTAAAAAATCCAGAAGTGGTTGACTTTTTGTAGAATGCGAATGAGCAGAACTTACTCATACTAAGCTAATTTGAGGCTCTTACAATTGTAAGACCTTACAATTGTAAAACCTCGATTGTCCGCTATCCAAGCTCTTGTATCACCTCATCTTCAGCAGTCTTAGCTCAGCTATCGTCGGAAGACCTGTAAAGTAATCATGTATTCTGCAGGATTTACAATGGCTTTCAAGGTTGTTTCTGGAGGCAACCGATTAACAAGTATTGGTAAATTTTGGAAGCAGAAATTACCTTCACATGAATCAAGTTTAGGAGCTCTTAACAAATTTAAATCATTTACGGGACTTTATAAAAATCGTCTTGTCGATCCAACAAATTGGAACAAAGTAGTGTCGAGTGAGGTAAAATCTGGGTAAAATTTATAATTAAAGTAAGAATATAAAAATGACAAGCGATTTCACCTGAACAGTTGTTTTTGTTGAGCAAGAACCAATGCATAAGCGATTGCTGGGATGTAGAAGTAGAACATGTTTATCGTCGTCAGTGACGGTGCAGTCCATAGAAATAGCGAGCTTTAGCAAGAGTACGACTACGACAACAACTAATGCAACGAGTACAAAGTTTGACAATGTAAGGGAATGGCACGAGGCAGTTGCTTCGTCAAAATTTTGCATTTTTGCTTTCGTTGCAAACACCAGGGCCGGTTGCACGAAGCCTGGGTAGCGTTATCCATTGGATAGCAAAAAATTTCCAACTTATAAAAAAGGTGTTTATATTTTTCATACGACAAAGAAATTTCGTAATCTTTGAAACAATATTTTATTTCAGTGATTGCTCAGTTCTAATCTAATATTTTTTGCTTTTAATAAGGTTTTGTAAAAGTATAAAAAATTGCTATCCAGTGGATAACGCTATCCAGGGCCTTTTTATTGTGAAAAACACCAAATTTTGTGAAGCAGCTACGGCCCTTTAGACTGAAAAATCTTCACTATTTTACATTTTACGTACGATATATTTGTACTATTTTATTGTTTGTTTACCTTTCACTTAGCGTATGAAATACTTGGAAGTTTTGCAGGTCATATTTTTGTTTTAATCTGAGGTCAAAAAAGTTTCTGAAGTAAAGCCTGGTGGTTGAAAATAGCACTGTCGACTTATTTCCTCACTGTCAACAATAAAAAATCATACCTACTTTCTTTTTATAAGAAGACATTGTAGTCGCGACAGAGATTATAAATAAAAGTAGAGGTGGCATTGATGACGAATTTAGAGAACGCGAGAGTTGGGGGAATTTAGGTCCCAGATGCATCGCTTATTTAAACACGAAGTAAACAAATATTCTTTTGCCGTCTGCTTTCAAGTTTTGGATTCTCTTTTGATGTACTGCATAGTACGTTTTTTGCTTTATTGTACGAGAATCAAGAAAATTTGTTAATTTTAAGCCTTAGCAATTGTTTTAGCGAGCTGTTATGATTATATGTTGTTTATAATCTCCGAATACTTAGTATGTTTCCATTAATCTATGAGCAATGAAAACTTACGTTGTTCGTTTTTATTTTTACAACTCACGTATTCACATAGTTTAACCATTTTTAACATTTTTTCCGCTATGGATGACAAATATATGTTTTTTTGACGTCTGTTAGAAATTGAATTAAAGACGAAAAAGGTCTTTTTAACAAGCAATGACTCATGGACTTATAATTTACTGAATGAGTATAAAAGTAACACAATTATGTCATGTTTTCAATCCGGAATCAATTTTGCCCACAAAAAACACATACCATATTTTGGACTATAGATTATATTACGATGCCATTTCTAGTATTATTTATAATGTTTATGTTTGTCACAAAAATGTTTTCGCGCAAAAATGGCATACTTCTTACTCGTAGTCGTATTTGTAGTCTTCGCTAAAGCTCCCTAAATTTACCTAAGCTGAGAGTAAAAAATTTAAAACTGTCGTAAATATTTTAAATAAGGTACGTTTTGTGTTGTACAAAAACGGCTTGGAACAGTTGGTCCTTAAGTTCAAATGTCCGAATTGCAGCTACATCGACTGGTTTACACAACTTAACCTCGTGGAGTCCCCATGGCATGATATAACATCGTCTACCTTTAACTACTTTACAATAGAAGGTCGTTGCTTTAGAGACAGATGTCGTGATTTTCATATAAATCACAACTATGATTATTGTCCTAAGGATGATGGATGGTTAAGCATTGGAAACACTATAGAATGCCCCTGGGAGAAACGATTTTCAGGAACATCATTTATTTACAGCATAGTTGGGCGACATCAGAATTACAATGAATACAGTAAGTCGTAAAAGAATATTTCATTGATCATTACTGTGCAGTGGATGTGGAAATAATAAAGTTAGATGTCTGAGAATTGAAGGCATAATCGATGATCACAATACGTCAAACAACATTTTCGAAATTTTACTAACCAGGCGTACAAGATTTGAATGACAAATCTCTTCAAATTATAGCTACTTAACCAAGATATGATGTTGAACGACTAAATTTTGATTCATACTATGAAAAAACAAGATCATAAATTTCATAATCCACATTTGCCTTTTTTAAGACAAAAACGTTTTTAAAATTGTTTAACATTTTAAATTTTACTTGTCCTTTTATGTCTTTATAAGTGCTAAATTTCGAAGCCTACGCGATCTTAGGCCTAGTTCAAACGTCAAACTTTACATGAGTCAAACGCATTTAAAAAAAAGTTAATGAGGAAGTTCATCTAATTTTGTTTTGTCTTTAATAACACACATGAAAAAATTTCTCAATTTGGATTGGTTAATATCAGTGCACTTTATCGTAAATACCAGTGCAAAAATACGAAACACCGGTGCAAAAGTGTGAAACCTCGGTGCAAAAAAGCGAAACACCGGTGCAATTTATTTTTGAAAAATGCACTCTTGATTGGTTTATCAGAAAAAGAAGTGATCTAAGAGCCAATCAAAATAAAAACATTTCAAAGGCGGGAACGTTGCATTATTGTTAACAAAGCAATTACAATGGCAGGCGTAAGTTTTAAGTATATTTTCTTTTTACGTTTAAAATGCAGTTAAAAATCAACAAAATTAAGAATTTTTTTCATGTATATTATTAAGAAGTCTTGTGCTCGAGCAATTTTGACAGTCTTTGAAAAACTCACTCGTGCATGTTTTTCCCAAATTGCACTCGAAACCATGCTATTACCTACACTAAATACTAATGCGTTCTGTGCATGTAAAGTTCAACGTTTGATATAGGCCTTAGTTATTCAATTGAAAAATAAAAAGGAGCAAATTTCAGCATATCTTTGTTATTATGTTTGCATAGATTCTTTCTCTGGAGATTCCGATGTTTTGGCTATTTTTGTGCGATGACGAGCTTAGGTAAAGTTATAGACTTATTTAGGTTATCATCATGCATGTAAGATGAGTGAAAGTCAAATAGTTGGCAATGTAAAAATATAAATAGAATTTGTTGCAAATAAATTCAGGAAGTTTGATGTGCATTTATAATAGCTACAATCAGGGAACAACAAAAAAACAGTTGTTTATTTTGAGTCGTGGCGGTCGTCAACAAATAATCTTTTTGTGCTCATTAAGTAATTTCTTTATCAATAAATCCCCAGCTTAAAAAGGATAAATAATTTTCTATCAATTTATTTCAAATAACCTACAGGTATGAAAAAATAAAAACATACGTCGATTTTCACGAGAAAAGGTTCTGTAAATGATTGCTTTTCTATTACCTCCAAATAACAACTGACAACGGCTTATATTAAAACTGGAGAAATGCCTTCAAATTCAAATTAAGTTCTAACCACTAAATTCATTTTTTAATTTTTCAGGCAATGGTTGAAGTGATCGTTTTTGAGGAGTTTTTTCGTCTTTCAGTGGCTTATTCTAGTCCAATCAATACATGCATGGTTTAAGTATAACATTATGTAGTTAGCTATAGTGAAATAAAAGACAAAAAAGACTATTGAAGCAAAACTCTGTCTTCTTACTTATTATATCCCTAACTTCGTGTCTGTCATTGAAAAATTCAAATTTTAGCATTTGTAATCACCTGAGCTTTTTCTTTTTAGCTTACATCATATTTCACGGAAAACTAATCGTTTGTAAAACGTGAGTTTCATTTTTTGACATACTTTTCAGGAAGCCAGTCAAATATATTGAAAAGTTGACTTTAAATTTTACCACGCCGACGTCGGCCTCATATCTGAGTTATCGAGCATTACTTAAATTTTTTGAAGCAAACGTAAATGATGAAATGTCTATGATTTGTAATATTACATGTTCGCTTTATTTACAGAATTCACAATAAGTACTTAGGACATGATAACATAAAATATTGCCATCAGTTAGGCATCACCTCCCAAAGCCCTTGAAGTGTAAACCCATCTTTTAGCTCTATTGCCAAGCCAAGCTCGGGATTGAACACGGGTTCTCGATCTGTAGACTAAATAAACCAAAACTCTTCTTTCAACAACTGTACTATAACCATCCACGTACACATATTCTATAAAACACAGTTCTAATGAATCTGCATCTGAAGCCAGCCGAAAGCGATGTAAATAAGTACGAAGTCATTTGATTACAAAGTGCCACAGATCAAACTCGGCCTGAAAATTTCATGAAGTATATATAGGTGTTTTTTACACACCAGTCGCCAAAAATAATACAAACAACAATATAACAAAAAAAAATCATCACATAACTTTAAAACAGGTGAGAAAAACAAGCCATTTTTTGTCTTTTCTTTCACCGTCAATAAATGTACTACAATACTCTTCCCTCCCTGACGCAATTACAGAAAAAAAAGAGTTAATACATCACCTCAGCATCGGGAGACATGCTTTTGACCAATGAAACATAGGCATAAGGAGGGTCAACGATCGTGTACAATAATATTCTTCAATAAAATCGAGGGGAAGAACATGTCGTTGGACAAATTTGGATGGAGAGGCATGTGACTTGTACGTTAATCTTATTAGGAAAAACAGTCGACATGTTTAGAAAAATTGATCAAGAAAATTAGGAATCAAGGACTGTCGACCACATCTTTATATGAATCCAACGAATTTTTAGGCCTTTAACTATTTATTTCAAATTCAAGAGCATTCAAGGATATTTAAGGACATCCAGAAAGCTGTTTGTATCATGACCGCAAAATTTTGTATACTTACTCGATAAAATGATTTAAACGTAAAAAAATGAAAATAAATTATCAATTAAATTAAAATCATCTCGGTCAAAACTATACATCATAAACAAATATTTATATTTACTTACTTTATGGCCATCAGCAAAGTACGCCTAAAAGTCAACAAATATACAATTATTAATACGACATCCATAATTAGCACCATTTCCATCCCTTTTACCTTCGGATGCACATTTTTTACTTTTTCATACGTACATTCAGCATTTAAAAGGTACCAACGTAAGACTATTTGAATAATTATTGTTTGCTAATTTCAATTCTCTAAAAACTGTATTAACTCAATGTTTATTCGCAAAATGTTAGAGATTTTTAAAAAAAGTGGGTTTTGAAGCAGAGACGATGAAGACTGATAATCAATAAAGACACTTGGTCGTAAATTGAAAAACGACTTTAGCAATGAATATACACATCTCACAAACATGGAATGTGTTAGCTAGCTCAGGGACGGACTTTCCAGTAGGCGAAGTAGGCTTAAACCTACAGGCCCGGGCTTTCGAAAGGTCCGCTGCATCTGGACACAATTAGGATTTGAACGTTTTTGCTTTCCGGGCTAGCTAAATGTGCTTAACTTAGATAATTTAAGCTAGATGTTGAATCTTTACGAGCAATTGAACGCAGAGGAAAAATGACTTTCGTGCGATCTACTTTTCTCAGAACTCGTAAGTATTAACTTTTCCTATTTCCCTGACCATGCCAATGATTTTTAAAATTACGTTTCAACTTTAAAAAGAGCTTTTCCCATTTTTTACCCTATGAAGTTACTAATAGCAAATGCAAAGCAAAGGAAAACTGAACTTATTGGGAGGATCACGTATCGCTTCAAGGCACTTTGTCTTAGTCTACAGGCCCGTAATTAGTAATCCGCCACTGAGCTAGCTACCTTACAGTACATTGGATAAAATAACCATCATCGAACGAAAGCAAACTTTACAGAGTGTCAAAGCATATTGTTAAACAAGACAACAGTCGTGAAAAGAAGAATAAGAAAATATTGTACCGCAAATGCATCAGTTTCTTCACCATCGTTAGTTATTTCAATATCATCGTGAATAGGCTCAACAGTGGCTTCCTGCAAGGTCGTTGGCTGAAAAACAGTATCACGGCAAATAAATGTTAGCGTATCCATAAAAGTCACTTAACATACTTTGTAATCTCTTCAATAACATTTATAAAATAAACACAATGAAACGTGTGCGCTGTTTAGTCTAGAGCTGTGTTTGCATTTGCCTGTGCAAAAAACATCAGAGCTCAACCAATCATATCAATCAAAACAATAAATCAGTCAAAGAGAATTAACAAATCGAACATGAATACATTTTAGAGGAAAACTTAAAATGTTTGTCTGTTTCACATTATTGCTATTTTAAAAAAAGGAATAAAAGATATTATTCGTGTTTGCACTGGCTTATGCAAACCTCGGAGACGTTCGTGAGAACTCTCGAGCATGTGCAACCTTCGGTCTCGGGCTTGCAATGATCTGCTCTCGAGTTCTCCCAAAGTTCTCCGAGGTTTGCATAAGCCTGTGCAAACACAATAAACATCTTTTACTTCTTAAATAGAACTGCTCTAAAATGACATTTAGACTTTGGAAAACGCATTATATATGGGCCGCAAAAAATGAGGTAATGAGGTAGATTGATGAACATATGTAGATTGTTGATTATAACAAAAATATAACAATGCAATAATAATCCGAATATGCATAACTTGTAATATCAAAGCTTAAAGGCTACACGGTAGTTTTACTTCCGCAAACTTTATTAATTTTGCATTGAACCAAAAATTTAACAGTACAACATAATGGTCAGCCATGTATGCATGCACAGATGCTAGCCACTTAAACTACAGAAGCCATAACCGCTGTTATACAACACATCGACAATCAGTAGCAAAGCCAGTATTTCCTACTGCTATACAATGCAAATGTTTTGTTCAATTACAGAAAAGACAGCGAATGAAATCAATTCTCAACAGAATGCAAAAAAATTGAAAAAAATTCACAGCAGAAACTAGTTTCTCCACAGTTCAAAAAGTGGCTATTACAAGCAACACTTTTTTACATGAGTAGCAATGCAAAAAACAAAATAGTAACCAAAGTATGACTTACCCTTTCTTCAGTCTCAAATTCCACACCAAAGATAGGACTCGCGCTGTAAACCTAAAAAAGTTAGACGGGAAGGTTACGGCGCATTATGTGCATGTAGCTACAATATTGTATAAAGCATTTATTTTAGGCGACTTGCAATTTAACATACACAATAGGTTTCAAATCAACGGAGAAATCCATATGCTTGTTTTGTTTTTATTAGGAAAGATATCAAACTGAATTTCATATAAATTATGTTAGTTTGTTTGCGAAAAAAAGGCACTTATTTGTATTTCCTTGGCTATATAGCTAACAATGTTTTGTCAGGAATTTCCAAACTTTAAAGTTAATGTCGCAATTGTAACCTTCGAAAGATTTACCTTTGACAAAATTAGAAAGAAAATTATATACAAAAACACTTACCCTTTGAAGACTTTGAATTTCTTTTAAAGTTTCTTGTAGTTTTTCAGCGGGATCAATACGAAAGCCCAACACGTAACCACCGCTCTATAAATATGTAATGTTATACACGTGAATAAAGTAGTGCATGAATGTAAAATTTAATTTAAATCCTCCCAACCATTTTTTCTAGTCATCTTGCAATTTAGGATTCAATGAATTGAACAGCAATTTCTAAGATTGTATCGCGCAAAATCTCTACAATCCCAATTGCACTGAAAGCAATACAGCAGTAGCAAATAGCCTTTGACAATTGAACAGAAAGTTACATTATTACTTCATGTAAATAACGTTCGTAAATTCAAGTGAAAAACAAACTGACTAGCCAATCACTCGGCCTCATTGAAACATTCATATTCAGAATATACTAAAATCTAGGCCGACCAATAATAACAAGACAACAGTCATACCTGTTGTGATGTCTCCAGAACTAAGGCGAGACCAAATTTTGATTCCCGAACGCGGATTGATTTCTAAAAAGAAATGCACAATTGCAGGACAGAAACAAATTAAAAAGACTTTTTTAATTCATAATTAACTATATAAATAGAAAAATATATACAAAAAATAGCACATCAAAACAAATAGATCAGTCAGCTAACTATAGTAGCAAGCAATCGTTAGTACAAACTATGGATATTGAATGAATCAAGAAAGTGAAGAGATAGAACAACATCTGTTATAAATCTTATCAAAACAGCCAGCAATACACAAAAACATTGACAATTTTCCTATCATTCAGGAATTTTTAGTGAAATTAATTGTTCTACTTTCAGGGTTTCCTGAATTATTAGTGAAAGAAAGGCAAATTCCTTTACATGAAAAGTAGACAAGGAACGTTTTTTATTACAAACATATAATTGAGTGATATTAGGCAGAAACGAGACATGCGAGGTTAAATGATACAATTAATTGTCAAGAAGTAAAGTTTGAGGGATTCTATCTTTAAATATTTTTGTGTTCATTTGCTGCAAAAACAATGAAAAGAAATAGCTAATTTTTATTTGAAATAAATAATAATTTTTCTGAAAAAAATTTGTATTGTAGGAGTAAAAGTTTAGGCTGCTTTTCCACTGACTTCACATTCTTAAATTTATTATCAAAATGTTAAAAAAACATGTCTAACTCTTTCTAGGCAATCGAATCATGACAAAAACCTAGTTAATCAAATATTCTTTCTTGTCATATATGTCTGAGCCTGCTCGATAACTTCAATAAATTAAAAAATTTCAGCGATGAAATCTGATAAAAAATATTTATATCTATATCATGTAGTGCGCATTTCTACATCTCTGATATGAGAGTTGTACACAATAACAAACTCTGTAATAA